TGAAACAAGAACGGAGATAGTACGGCACCCTGTAGAACTCCCAAATTGCTCATGGGCGGTTTATATGTTCTTGCCTACCGAGTCGAGTATGCTGAGTTCTGCTTGTGAAGTACATTCTTCATTTGAGGTAAAACTAAAGCATAAACAAACTGATTTTGGTTAATTAAGGGGATCCACTATTTGGATAGCGATCACCTCGGTTGTGCATAGAATGATAACCGAACTCGTTTTGACAGAGATGACGGCGTGTGATACGGAAAGACTGATCAAAATTAACTGTGTGCTGTGTCGCTAATATGTCCTAGTTTCATCGTGTCTCGACCAGTCGGGATTGCTGTTCGCATATCCTCTTTGATAGCTGCCTCTTTGTATGGTCGATGTAACTCACTCAACAGGAGCAAATGAAACCGTAAAGGCATATGGATGGGGTTTGAGGGAATAGTTTTTCTTTGCGGTGGACCCATATTGTAGCGGACTTCAAGAAATTCATGGGCAGTTCAGCTGTCGTAAATGTTTGACGCAACGCTTGACTGATACATCATGTAAGCCACTGAACCATGTTATCAGCTTTGAACGACGGTTGCTAATAGAATGGTTTTCTATTAACTGTGTACTCAATCTGGTATCTCAGGTCTCTCTGTCAAATGTTTATCTATGAGGGAAATATGGTAAACGTACTTGCAAAGAAATTTTCGATGCTTTCGGGGTGGGGGGATTTTGAGTTCCCTTGTAGCTAGGAATCGCAACAGATTTATCTTTTGTTTCAATGGCACGGAGCTATTGGAATTCACATGTTGTCCCGTCCAAGTTGGTTTTCTACATACTCGTATCTGGATAGTTCGTTCTGGTTTCGGATCAGTAGATCATCCCAGGACTAGGATTTGATCAATGTTCTCTCTCTCTTTCTTCATGGTGAGTTCGATTGAGTTGTGGCTGGCGTTGAAGGCCTTCAGTACAGACTGAACGTTCGTTGTTCGGTTTGTTGTGGAACATATATAATCCAAGTATCGATAGTACACACAGAAGTTGTGAAGGGTGCCGTGTAGGAGTGTGCTCTCCCGTTTGCCCACGAATATGCCCACCAATAATGGCCCCAGAGAAGATCTCAATGCCAATCCATCCCTCTGTTGGTGGATTCCACTATTGAAAAAAAACTGAACGCCAAGATTGCACCAAAGCAGCAGCCCTTTCAGACTGCGAAAAGAGATATCCCGATTTCCAGTTGGTTCTTTGCCATTATTTGGCGTAGAAACTCCAAAGTCTCCAGCAAAGGGACATTTGTGAATAGGGAGGTCGAATCTACAGAGTGATGAAATGTTCAAGTTTTTGATCCGTTCGACGCATTCCAGTGTGTTCTTCAAACTGTAAGCGGAGATTCGCTGTATGGCTGGCTTTAGTGGTGGTATTAGTAGTTGTTGTTGTTGTCGTTGCTGTTGAAAGTCTAAGCCGGATTTTTGTTCTCAAAACCAGCCTCAGACAACAAGGTGAACCATTCGGAATGTGTAGTCAATCACGAAAACATGCACCGACCCCAACAACAGTGTAATAAAATGATTTTATGAATAGAAACTATAGATATATATGAGGGTACTCGATGACATGGGTCTATTTGAATGCAGGATGAGTTGAGCATATCGGTGTTGCTTTTTGGCGAACTAATCAACTGTGATTTCGAAATATTCCTCATATTGGAAACTACCTTGATTCTATCATTTTTTTCCGGCTTATCTGTGTTCTCATTTTCTTCCTTGTTCGGTTCTTTATGAACCGAATTGGGGCATCCCACGGATACCTAGCAAATCCCCAAGGGGTTGTAAACTTGAATCGAAATTCAGGGAAAATTCAATCGATCTAATTCGAATTCGTTGCCTCCCTGCATGCAACATTGTACCCTTTGTGAAAAATATTTCTCACCAACCTGTCTTAAGAAAAATAAACTTTCTTACTCACCAAAATAGTCCTGGTTATTTTCACCATTAATATTGATGCCACATTCAACTGCGGAGATTGCTTCATACGGAAATTATCAGTCTCAATCATGGTTAAATCTTTTTTTTTTTTAATGGTATCCGACTGGGGTTGTCCATCTCTGAACACTACTGATGCAACCTACTTCCATTCAGTCCTCATCTCCCCCCCCCCG